GGGGGTATGAGTGGGCGCCGGGGCCAGAGGCGAGTGACCAGCAGGAGCAAGCGACAGGGTTGGGCCAGGGAGAAGGGAGTAGGCTTGGTTGTTGGCTGCCTCCACCTGTGTCAGGGGCCGGACTCTAAGCTTTGCAGGGCAGGCACTGCCTAGCCCATCTTCCTGCAGCGCCCAGCACCTCTCTTCCCTCCCTGAGCAGCCTCTGGACGAGGGATGCTACATTTCAATTAATGAGCTACTTGATGAGTCGATAAGGGCCCCTCCACCTTTGAAGTGGAGCAACAGCCCCAGGACTATTGCTCCACTTCAAAAGCAACCGCGCTGTGGGGAGCATGGGGCCAGCGGGGGGACTCAAGCAGCCCCCTGCTGGCCCAGGGCTGCATGCTGTGTTTCAAAGCAGTGCCACATGGAGCCCCAGATCAGTGGGGGAGTCCCAGTGGGGGAAACCCAGCTGGCTCCCCCTGGCATTTCAAAGCAGCAGCACTGCATGGATCCCAGGGTCTGGCCTCAGGCTCCACACAGCGCTGCTGCTTTGAAGCTTGAAGCGCTGCTCCCCCCCTCCCCTCCTCTGCCTCTTTCTGATACAGGCAGCAAGGGAGGGGAAGTGACTAGTGTGTCGACTATCTGGTAAGCATTTAGTCGACTAGTCCTTCACATCCATACTCTGGATACCAGTGAAGAGGCCCTAGGGACCTGAGCCCTGATCAGCACAGCAGACAGGCATTGAGGGGCCCAAAGCATATGTAAAGACCAAAGCTGCTTAAAGATTTGAAATCTAGAACCCTCTGTTCATTGGTTGAGCCTTAGCCAGGGGGCGGGGCTATCAGGAAGGCCAGGGTTTTATAAAGCCCATGAGTAAGTGACCAGAGAGCTTTGCGACCTGGGGCAGCTAACAGGGAGTTTCGAGAGGGAGTTTGGAAGGGGGTGAGGGTCACTTGCCATTTCTTGAAAATTTTTAAACTAAACTAAAAACAAAACTTCCTGATTTAAATAAAAACCCTATCATTACCCTCTGTAGGAGAGAATGCAGGCAGAAGCCCAGCAGCAGAGTGGGGGCTATCCTGTTTATTGCACTCAATGTAGCATGTATGATTACCTGCCCTGTGGGCAGCTGGCATATGTGTGCATTCGGTACAAGGAGTTCCAGGCCCCCAGAGACCGTGTATGGGCTTTGGAGGCCAGGGTGGCTGAATTGGAGGGGCTAAGGGTGGTCGAGAGGTACATAGATGAGGCTTTCCAGGACACTGTAGAACTGTCCCACCTCTGATCAGATGGCCCCTGTGCTGTTAAGGATGAAAGGCTCAGGGAAGGTGAATATTCAACTGGAGCAGAGGGAAATGATCCCATAGTTGGGACCCTCCTTCCAGAGGATGTTATGGTATCCTCTCACATTGAGGAGACAGCTCTGGGGGAGGGAACTGCAGCTGTTAGGAAAAGGCAGGTGTTGGTAAAGGGGGATTCAATCATTAGAAACATAGATGGCTGGGTTTGTGATAGCTGGGAGAACCATATGGTGACTTGTGCAAGTCATATGGTGACTTGCCTGCCTGGTGCGAAGGTTGCGGAACTCTCGAGACATCTAGATAGTCTTATGTGTAGTGCTGGGGAGGAGCCCGTGGTAGTAGTACGTGTAGGTACCAATGACATAGGGTAGGGTAGAAGAGAGGTTCTGGAGGCCAAATTTAGGCTGCCAGGAAAGAGATTGAAATCCAGAACATCTATGGTAGCGTTCTCTGAAATGTTTCCAGTTCCACACGCAGGGCTGGGTAGGTAAGTAGAGCTTCAGAGTCTCTATAGAGAGGCGGGGTTTAGATTCAGAAACTTGGGATAAGAGGATCCTATACAGGAAGGATGGGCTCCATCTAAACCAAAATGGAACCAGACTACTGGCATGTAACATTAAAAAGGTTGGAGAGCAGTTTTTAAACAGGGCTGGGGGAAAGCCGACAGGTGCGGAGGAGCATGTGGATCGGATAGAGACATCTATTAGGGGAGGTTCTATTAATAGAGATGCTCCATGTTCTAGTCAGGAGGAGAGGATGGAAGTATGGGTCGGATCAGATGACACAATCAAATGAAAAAGTCTAACACATCAAGAAATGGCTGACAGTGACAAATTATTAAAGTGCTTAAAGACAAATGCTAGAGTCTAAATAGTAAAATGGGTGCCTAGGCATCATGGAAACTTGGCGGAATGAGGACCATCAATGGGACATAATCATACCAGGGTACAAAATATATCAGAAGCACAAAACAGGTCATGCTGGTGGAGGAGTGGCACTATATGTGAAATAAAATGTAGAATCAAATGCAGTAAAAATCTTAAATGAGCCAAAATGTTCCATAGAATCTCTATGGATAATAATTCCATGCTCCAATAATAACAATATAGCTGTATGAATATATTATCGACCCCCTGATCAGGACAGTGATAGTGACTATGCAATGTTTAGGAAGATTAGAGAGATTATCACATTAAAAAACTCGATAATAGTGGGGGATTTCAACTATCCTCATATTGACTGGGTACACGTCACCTCAGGATGGGATGCAGAGATAAAATTTCTTGATACCTTAAATGACTGCTTCTTGGAGCAGCTGGTTCTGGAACCCACAAGGGGAGAGTCTATTCTTGATTTAGTCCTAAGAGGAGTGCAGGATCGGATTCAAAAGATAAATATAACTGGACCGCTTGGAAATAGTGATCATCATATAATAAAATTTAACATCTCCGTAGTGGGAAAAACACCCCAGCAGGCCAACACTGTGGTATTTAATTTCAGAAAGGGGAACTACACAAAAATGAGGAAGATAGTTAAACAGAAATTAAAAGGTACAGTGACAAAAGTAAAATCTCTGCAAGCTGAATGGAAACTTTTCAAAGACACCATAATAGTAGGCCCAACTTAAATGTATACTCCAAATTAAAAAAAATCATAGTAAGAGAACCAAAAAAGTGCCACCGTGGCTTAACAACCAGGTAAAAGAAGCAGTGACAGATAAAAAGATATCTTTTTAAAAGTGGAAGTCAAATCCTAGTGAGGAAAATAGAAAGGACCATAAACTTTGTCAAAGTAAATGTAAAAATATAATAAGAAAAGCCAAAAAGGAGTTTGAAGAACAGCTAGCCAAAAACTCAAAAAGTGATAGTAAAATGTTCTTAAGTACATCAGAAGCAGGAAGGTGGCTAACCAACCAGTGGGGCCCTTGGACAATCGAGATGCTAAAGCAGCCCTCAAAGATAATAAAGTCATAGAGGAGAAGCTAAATGAATTCTTTGCTTCGGTCTTCACGGCTGAGGATATTGGGAAGATTCCCAAACTTGAGCCATTCTTTTAGGTGACAAATCTGAGGAACTGTTCCAGAGTGAGGTTTCATTAGAGGATATTTTGAAACAAATTGATAAACTTAACAGTAACAAGTCACAGGGACCAGATGGCATTCACCCAGGAGTTCTGAAAGAACTCAAATGGGAAATTGCGGAACTATTAACTGTGGCTTGTAACCTATCCTTTAAATCGGCTTCCATAGCTAGTGATTGGAATATAACTAACTTGACGCCAATATTTAAAAAGAGCTCTAGAGGTGATCCTGGCAATTACAGACCGGTAAGTCTAACATCAGTACCAGGCAAATTAGTTGAAACAATAGTAAAGAATAAAATAGTTAAACACGTGGATGAATATAATTTGTTGAGGGAGAGTCAACATGGTTTCTGTAAAGGGAAATTATTCCTTACTAATCTGCTAGAGTTTTT